CCAGTTAGTCAAGTCACTCTTAATCCAAAATCTATCTTAAAAAATAGAAGTTAAAAATTTATTAGGATAGAAAAGGATCACATAACACCTAACCAACATTTGGCAAGATTTATACTAAGTTAGTTTGCTAAGTTTTTTGCCTCCAAATGCATCACTTGCTCTTAGGGATAAATGGGTTATGCAGTATATGATTAACAAATGCATCAATTAATAATTATGACCAGGAAACTAAATCAAAGAAACAAATCATAGAATATATATATCGGTAATAAGCGTCATAGGTTTTATAGCACGCAAATAGCATGTGCAAGGAACTAAATAAAAGAAGCAAAAGTTGAATTTTTACCTCTTTTTGGCAATAATTCCTTTACTCATCCTTGTCTCTTGACCTACCTAAAAGAGATCATAATAATATGCAATAAGTTCTTTTCTTATGGAAAAAGTAATATTAAAGAGAAAAAGAAAATATATAAAAAAAAAAGAGGATTAGATACACTTCCAGAAAAAAAAAAAAAAAAACTAAAAAATTTAGACAAACTAACACTTCTTAACAAGGAATATATCCAAACTGAATATGCAATCAATGATCAATACATAGATCAGTAGCATAAAAATAACAAATGCTTCATTCAATAATAATGTGAAGCCAAAAGGATGTTCTATCTCTTCTTGCCAATAACAATGCCAACATCATCCGCTAAATTAGATTACCTTTTCATACAATTTTCTGTTAAGAACAACTAACAAGAGATCAAAAATCATCGTATCTCCATTCACAAACCACCCTTCTAAAAAACATGATAAGTGAAGGCCGTCACAATAAATAAATTAAAACATGATTCTATTTATTACATGTTGATTTGATATTAACATAAACATAAAATAATACCACCCTTCCATAGCTACATTTCTTTTAGGATGTAGAGAGAGAGCAGCTTTTTTATATAAAAAAATACTTCGTTTACGAAGTGCAAGAGATAAAACTTTTATCTATTTTTTTAACATTATTAGATTTCTAAGAAGAGAATAGTATATGTAGTGCGGTTACATAATAGCTGCCAAAACTTGTTAATTGTTAAATGTTGATCATACCATGCAGAACAAAATCTTTCACGTATCCGCCCTAAAAGAAGGAAAACCGTGCTTCTTCTAACTGATTCCTTTCTTCTACTTGATTAGAACTAATCAAATCTCGAAATTTCATAACATAGTCTCTACTCTATTGACTTCCTCCAGATTAAAAAAAAAAAAAAAAAAACAAGATTTGAGTATTCAAAAAAATAAAAGCACCAAAATTATATATAAGCGATACAAATTAAAATTTATAGATTCTGATAAATCATATAAAGGTAATCCGCTGCAGCAATGATCAGTTTAGCATCATAATGATGCATAACAAAAGTAGATATGTTAATAAAACAATACCTAACATTAGCTTGACATCACAAAAGTAGATATCAGCATCATACAACAATATGTAAGTATCTATAGAGTTCAAATACTAAAACACCAGACTGGGTGCAACCAGAACCTAGTTAAATATATAAGGAGCACGATAATAAACAAGACTAATATATAATAGGAATAAGTGATCAAGTGCAAGAGATCAACTTTTTTTTAATAGAAAAAAATAAATTGTTATTAGGAATAACAACAGATAAACTACAATGGTGGAGAATAAAAGATTCTACTGGAGACTTCAATAAAAGATCTTTGAAACAAAAATAAGTTACAAAATGGTTTGGCAACAGAGTCCCAAAGGTCAAACTATTATCAAACCTCTTATTCCAAGAACAGAGACAGAAATATCTGAAAATTTTCCATTGGCTTTCAACTTATATAACGTAACATATTGAACGCATGCTTCAGAAGTTGACAAAAATCTACCCAACTACTAATAACATAGAATCGCACACATCCTTTTAAAACATAGAATTCCATGAATCCTGATTCACTGCTAATGCAATGGTACGTTACCAGGGAATACTAGAGACACATAAGCTGAAGGGAAAAACTTGTATGCACTATACAACCATATAGGCAGCATACCTACACCAAGAGTTCCAACCAAAATCCCAATGATGTTAGCATCTTTTGCCTTCTCCACCAGGTAATATTTGCGTGAATTGTTACTCAAGTAAATCCAAGAATGATATATAAAGAAGACTATCGGTACATAAGGTTGAGGGAATGTGCACCGAAAAGGTAGATGATTTAACATACAAAAAATAGAATACAAACTTCAGAAAAAGTGAATAGAAATCAAGAGAGACAGACACGGATGACTATGTTGAAAATAATACCTACACTTAAGAATCATTCTCTGTTGAGAAAAGTTTGTCACCAAATGATCTTCTGTTGCATCATACCTAACCAAAACCAACCACAAAATAAATAAGAAAGTAACTAAAAAAGGACAAGTAGCCATAACAAAGGAACAAGAATATCCTACCATGTTTTTCTAATATATAATCTACTTCAGCAAACTAATGACGTCTTATACATCTCAAGCAATAATAATTTGATTTTGTGATCTATTTTTCCAAAACACATGACTCAGAAAAATATTTGGCCAGATTGAAGCAACTACAGTTCAACTCATGCTACTGTTGTACAAATGTCAGCATGAAAAATTATCCAATTTTTTCCCATTAGATGGGTTTGGTTGCTGCACCAATACTGTCATCGTTAGAGTGACTACTAAATGGTCCAGGGAATCACTACAAATATAATTAGATAATTATAGGTATTCAATGTACCTCTTTCCGATTGACCAACTAGTCATGCAACCTCGGATTCAAAGCAAACAATCTCATCTATCACTGCAAAATTAACTAAAAAAATGAAACAATGAAAAGAACAAAGAAAGAAACTTTTCTACCAAACTCATATTCTACCTATAATGCATCAGTCAATGAGTGTCGCACAAAGTATAGGAAATATCTGGATTATGTAGTATCCCCATAGCAAATACATTTGATGAAACAAAGAAAAAAGGAAAGAAGGAAGAAAAGAAAAGCAAAGCAAAGGAAAGAAAAGTTTGTCTTCTTAGAAGAAGACCAGAGTCTACTTAGAATTAACGAGCGGCAATATATATAGGTCATGTACGTCATTGCGCACGTGACATAAATCCAAATAATAAGTAAACTAAGTATCAGGCACATGGCAACCAATCGATGAAACATCACGTCACCTACCTGTGGCTCCATCAAACCAGCGGCATGTACATTATATCCTCCGGATCCGAAACACTGCTTTTGCTGTCATTTTTGTGTCTCGTACGTGTTACAGCTCGCAGAGTTGAGTCCACCTGAGTGCGACTTGAATCTGCAAATTCCTTTTTGCTGTGTTATGGATTGTTCATGGTTAAGCTTATATTTGAAAACTCCATAAAAGTAAAATTAATTTGATAAACAAATTAATCCTAATGGTACAGGTCGCATTATTTAAATTTAATAAACTAATTAAAAGTGAATTTAAATCTGATAAACAAATTAAAGCTTTGATGTCGTCAGTTTGAGCTCAATGAAATTTCACACATTAACAAGCATGATTCAAATTTTGGCCCACAAAAACACATGCTATTAAGTTACAACTTTGCCCCAAAATCAAAGGTATTAATAAAACATTCTCCAAATGCCCATTAAAAGAAGACAAAATAAAAATTAGAATTTGACACAAAGTAGCATGCATGATGTTCTGTATTACCAATTCATATTTAACCGAAACCAAAAGAAAGATAATGCCGAAACCTCTATACCCAATCCTTCGCTTAACAAAACAAAAAGGGCAGAAAAATAAGATGGATTCCAACTTAAGAGCATCATTCATTCTGGAAACTTACATCCCAGAAAAGAAAAATGCAGGAACAGAAATCATCAATCAATCATGTTCACCTGCCCCCATCTCAACAGTACCCGCTCTCAACCGCCTAACAAAAGAAGAAGAAACCAAAAAAAAGAGAAAAAACCTACAACCTCCTTTTCACTCTCTGTTTTGAAAACTAGAAGAGGAAACTGTTTAAAAGGTGGTCTCGTAAAACGGTGACGTTTTAGGAGGCAGCTTAATGAGCTTCCCAAACATCCTCGTTTTAGAGGTTGAATTTTAAAAGGGAATGGGTTAGGCCGCGAGAGAAGAAGAGAAGAGAAAAAGGGAAAAACTGCAAATTTAAATGATGAAAGAAAGAAATCAAGAAATAAAGAAAGAAAAGAAAAGAAATGTTTCGTTCAATAACTGCAAATTTAAATGAAAGAAAGATAGAAAGAAAGAACTAAAAGCAAAGCAAAGAAAAGAAATTTCTGTCTCCTCGGGAATCAGTCAGTGCAGGGATGACTTACCAAAGGCATGGATAACTGCAAATTTAAATGATACAAGAAAGAAAAAAAGAAAAGAAATGTTTCGTTCAATAACTGCAAATTTAAATGAAAGAAAGAAGGAACGAAAAGCAAAGCAAAGAAAAGAAATTTCTGTCTCCTCGGGAATCAGATAATGCAGGGATGACTTACCAAAGGCATGCGTAACTGCAAATTTAAATGATGCAAGAAAGAAAAAAAGAAACAAAGAAAGAAAAGAAAAGAAATGTTTCGTTCAATAATTATGAAAAGCAAAAAGAATCATTTACCTCTTCTTGGCAATAATTATGCCAACATCATCTGCTTCTCTTCATGCAAGCTCGGATTCAGAGCAATCACCCATCTGTCACTGCAAATTTAATTAAAAGAAAGAAACAAAGAAAAGAAGAAAGAAAGAAAGAGAAACTTTTAAACTCAGATTCTACCTCAAATGCAGCAATCAATGAGTGTCGCACAAAGTATAGGCAATGTGTAGATTATGTAGAATCCGCACAGCAAATACATTTGACGAACAAAGAAAGAAAGAAAGAAAGAAGGAAAGAGAAGCAAAGCAAAGAAAGGAAAAGTCTGTCTTCTTGGAAGCAGACCAGAGTACGCTTAAAATTAACCAGAGCGGCAGTATATATAGGCCATGTACGTTATTGCGCACGTGGCATAAATTTAAATTAACTAAGCATTACACGTGACAACCAACAGATGAAACATCAAGTCACTTACCCGACGCACGTGCCGGCATATAACACACGTGTTCTCTCGTCGTTTTCGGACCCAAAATGCTGCTTCTGCCGTCGTTTTCGTGCCTCCGATGTGTTACAGCTGAGTCAACCTGAGCGCGAGTTGGCTAGTGGAGTTCTTTCCTTTTCTCTTCTTCTGTTAAAACAAAAATTATCAGAGATTAAGAATAGTTTAAAACGACCACTGCTTTTTCTCGAAATGATTTGACTAAATCAGGGCGACTATACAGACATTCAAAAGAACGGAATACGAGACAATGAATCCAACTGCCAACAAGTAAAAGTCAAAGCTATGAAAACCAAGAAAATCAAAACCTAGAAACGGAATCCAGGAACAATTACCTTGAAAGAAGGCGAGGGGAGGGCTTCCATGAGGATCGAGAGGAGCAGAGAGATTAAGATCCCTGGAACAAAAATCGGACCAGAGAGAATCCTCATAGGAAGAAACCCTTAACCCCCGGCTGACACATGCGACTCCTGCAGCATCTTTTGCTCCTAATTTCGATAAATTTACCAAAAGAAGATACCAAATCACGTATCCCCCGTCTTTGTCCTTTATGGCTTCTCAATTTTTCTCTTTCTCTTTCCCGCAAAAGATAATTGGAATACTCTCAGTCCCCTGTTCAGTCCGGTTTCCAACGCGAGCCAGGTGTTTCTTCAGTTCGTCTGCGAAAGAGAGAGACGACCGACGGTTGCACCGAGCAGAGACTACATATCCACGTTTGTCGCTGAAATGACACTTTATAACTTTTTTAAATACATTAAAAATAATTAAATTTACTTCACAAAATATTTTAATTTTGTAATAAAATTTTGTGGTAATTAAAATGTAGCTTATGTTAATTTATTCCACCAAATAAACTAAAACCTAAAAAAAACCAACCGAACATCGACCAAAACAAAGGATTGTTCGTAAAATTTACTAAGGTTCCGACGAGAATCTTGTTGATGAAATTGGGGTTGAAGTAACCCCTTCATTGGTCCTTGCAGTCCTGCAAAGGTTTCACTTGGAGGAGAAAATAGCATTTAAGTTTTTTCACCTGGGCGGAGCATCAAGAAAATTACTCCCACGAGCCTTGTGTTTATAACAATATGATTGACATATTTGTTGGAGAAGAAACTGAAACTCAAACGATGCAAAACAGAGAAATTACAGTCAATAAGTATAAGAATGTTGGACGAGGAATTTTGTCAAACACTTGGTGGGCCGAAAGTGAACTCAAGACTGTTTTCTACAATAAAATATTTTCCATAACCAAAGCTGCCTTTTTATAGGCATTGCATCTCAACTGAACTAAAGACATGCTTCACCTGAAAGTAAAAAATGAAAAACCAACTTTGACCAAGTCTAAACACAATAAAAGTAAAATAACTGTTGTCAATTTTGAATCACATATTCAACAATATGTGATATGCTTGATTACATGAAGGGAGCGTTGTTACTGCTGATGTTTCGTTAACCATTTTGAGAAAATACTCTGACAAATATTTGACCCATGTTCAGAAATTTGCAAAGAAGAAAAGAATAATGGTGAAGACACGCGGCCAGAGATTAATTGTTTTTGTTAAGTTCGATAGCACTAACAAATGTAAACTTACCATTTGAGGTCACTGTTGGTTGTTTTTATTTTTCCAGAAAGTGTAAAATGGTTACCCTTAATTGTTTCAAGAAAGAAATATGCATATCTAAAGATTGACATTAAAAATAGGAGTATTATAACCAAGAAAAATGATATTCGTTTGCCTTCTCTTTATTTAAAAAATATATATTATATAATTTTGAGATTAAAAAAAGTTATTCTGTAAAAGTCCGAAACTTAAAAGAAATGAATTCATATTTTAAATACATAAGCAAATAATAATTAGAGTTTATATTCCTTACACACTAATTATGGATGCTCAATAGAAGTACGAAAATGTTCATTTTACAGCGGTTCATGAAAAGAAGTGAAATAAATAACTAAAAATAATAAATAAATGTCCTAGAGAGTTAACCTCCACCAACACTCAAAGGAGTACAGGAAAAAATCTACTCATAACCCTCTTGCTGATCAGAATCTGAATTTTTGTCTTCTTAATCTGAAATAGTTAATAGGACGGTGAGTTACACTAGTTCAGTAACAATATCACACTAATCACTGATATGGAAATCGAATGTTAGTAAAAAACATAAAACAACTAATGAACCATTAATTTAAGTAAATTCATTTAACATACAAAAAATCGTTTATTCCATACTTACCGTTACGAATTTTCCAAAATCGACATATAAAAATAATTACTCAGAAAACATTATGATTTCATTTACAAATGAGCAAAAACTGTAATTTTCTTTTTACTTGCTTACTGGAACCCCTGTGGATCCATAAGGATATTTTCCTACTTGTGAACTCGATAATCAGATTTGTCAATTAACCCATTCGTTCCCATACCCCGTTCGGTAATGGGTGTCAAACACACTATCGTCTCGATACCTCATCCGGTATGAGAGTGAACCAGATTTTCCAAACTTTTCTGATATGAGACTTCTTAGTTCCGTCCGACTGAGACAATGTCTACAATAGAATTTCCTATGTACTAGGTTCGTCTACCATTTTCCAATATACCCAGTAAATCTTTCTTATATAGATTCAAAGTATAAACTAATTACCAATTATATAATAATAATTTATATTTACATATCAATAGTAGGTCATACAAATAAGCGATACGTATATCAGAAAATATAACTGAAACATTTATTGTAAAATGAACCTACAAATGGAGGGTATGCAGTGAAGTAAACCAAATAATCGAGAGAGCAATTAAGTCTATCAATTTAATTCACACAATATAATAGTAAGCATTTTAAGCAATACAGGTAAAATAAACAGTAAACCATGACAAATATGAACTGACCGATTCTGACTCCATTACTGACATATAATTATTCTTAGAATTCTTTAATTTTTACAAAAAAAATATTATCGGTTATTAAACTTCAATTTGCATAACAGGGAATAGAGTGAGAGATTCTTATCCCAGATCGGTGTTCAA